TCCTCCTCCTCCTCCTCCTTCCCCTCCTCCTGCCTGCTCCCTCATGCACATCATCCGCCTCCTCCTTCTCCCTTCCATCTCCTTCTTTTCCTCCTCCTCCTCCTCCTCCTCCTCCTCCTCGACCTCCTCTTCATCCCGAACGGCATCTCGGAGCCTAGAGTTGCGAGGATGTCTCCAGCGTAACGGGCTGGACCACCTCGCGCGCGGCATCTCGGACCCCAGAGTTGCGACGATTTCTCGGGCAAACGTGCTGCGAGGAAGTCTCAGGCGAAACGGGCCGGACCACCTCGAGCGCGGCGTCTCAGAGCTCCGAGTTGCGGGGGCCTCTGGTGCCTCCTGGGGCCTCCTGGGGACCTCCTGGGGCTTCCTCCTGGGCCTCCTGTGGCCTCCTGAACTCCACCTGGGGTTTCCTGAAGCCTCTTGGGGCTCCCAGGGGGGATATCAAACCTGTGGCCGTTTGGGCCTCTCCAAATGGAGGGGGGGGCACAAGAGCAGGAAGAATCAACGAATCGACACCGGATGTGTATTAACTTGACACGTTCTGATAGGCGGCCTCCTGGGGCCTCCTGGGAGCCTCCTGGGAATCTCCTGGGGACCCCTGGGGCCTGTCCTGGGCGTCCTGCGGCCTCCTGGAGCTCTCTGGGGCCTCCCCCTCCTCCTGCCTGCTCCCTCATGCACATCATCCGCCTCCTCCTTCTCCCTTCCATCTCCTCCTCCTCCTCCTCCTCCTCCTCCTCCTCCTCCTCCTCCTCCTCCTCCTCCTCCTCCTCGACCTCCTCTTCATCCCGAACGGCATCTCGGAGCCTAGAGTTGCGAGGATGTCTCCAGCGTAACGGGCTGGACCACCTCGCGCGCGGCATCTCGGACCCCAGAGTTGCGACGATGTCTCGGGCGAAACGTGGTGCGAGGAAGTCTCAGGCGAAACGGGCCGGACCACCTCGAGCGTGGCGTCTCAGAGCTCCGAGTTGCGGGGGCCTTCTGGTGCCTCCTGGGGCCTCCTGGGGACCTCCTGGAGCTTCCTCCTGGGCCTCCTGTGGCCTCCTGAACTCCACCTGGGGTTTCCTGAAGCCTCTTGGGGCTCCCAGGGGGGATATCAAGCCTGTGGCCGTTTGGGCCTCTCCAAATGGAGGGGGGGCACAAGAGCAGGAAGAATCAACGAATCGACACCAGATGTGTATTAACTTGACACGTTCTGATAGGCGGCCTCCTGGGGCCTCCTGGGAGCCTCCTGGGAATCTCCTGGAGACCCCTGGGGCCTGTCCTGGGTCTTGCGGCCTCCTGGTGCCTCCTGGGGCCTCCTGGGGGCCTCCTGGAGCTTCCTCCTGGGCCTCCTGTGGCCTCCTGAACACCTGAGGTTTCCTGAAGCCTCTTGGGCCTCCTGGCAGCCTCCTGGGAATCTCCTGGGGGCCCCTGGGGCCTGTCCTGGGCGTCCTGCGGCCTCCTGGACCTCTCTGGGGCCTCCTGAGGCTCGCAGGGTCCTATGGAGGATATGTATTTAACATGTGGTTTTCTGGGCCCCCAGGCTGGACCTCCTCTTGCACGGCATCTGGGAGCTCAGAGTTGCGAGAATGTCTTGTGCGAAACAGGCTGGACCACCTTGCGCACGGCATCTCAGAGCTCAGAATTGCAAGGATGTCTCAGGCGAGACGGGCCGGACCACCTCGCGCAGGGCATCTCAGAGCTCAGAAGTTCGAGGATGTCTGAGGCGAAACGGGCCGGACCACCTCGCGCGCGGCATCTCAGAGCTCAGAGTTTCGAGGATGTCTCAGGCGAAACGGGCCAGACCACCTCGTGCAAGGCATCGCAGAGCTCAGAGTTTCGAGGATGTCTCAGGCGAAACGGCCTGGACCACCTCTCGCACGGCACCTCGGGGCTCAGAGTTTCGAGGATGTCTCAAGCGAAACGGCCCGGACCACCTCTCGCGCGGCGTCCCGGAGCGCAACTTTTCGAGGATGTCTCAGGCGAAACGGCCAATCCCGGCCAACTCAGAAACGAGAGTTGTGAGGATGTCTCAAGCGAAACGGCCCGGACCATCAAATTTGTGTGAGGATGTCTCTGCTCCGCTTTCCCTCGGCCGGAGTTAGCTTCTATCACAACAGCACCCCGTTCAGCAAGCTGTTTGGGGAATACATACATACATACATACATACATCCCCGCGCACGAGGCCCGGGGGCCTGGGGCCCAGGCCCCGAGCGCGCATGAGAGGACCAGGGCCTCCGAGACCGCTCCCAGAGCACCCCGGAGGGGCCGTGTAGCCCCCAGACTGCCCCAGAGTCGCTCCTAGAAGCCCCCGGGGGACTTGGACATGCCCTTCTCAGCGGGCCCAGATAGCCCCAACGTGGCCCAAGATGGGCTCCAGACCGCAAATGCACTGCTCAAGAGGCCTCCAGGAGGCCTCAAGAGAGCTCCGAGAGGCGTCCCGAGAGAGCCCGAAGAGGCCTAAATCCTTGATATTCATTTGTTTTTTCGATGTCATTCGTTTTCTCGCGTTTTCGACCTTCCGACGCTCCAAGACGGCCGACGACGACCCCAACCAAGACCGCCCCAAGACCACCGAAGGCGCCCCCAAAAGAGCCCCAAGACGGCCCCAGGGAGCCCGAAAATTGCCCACGAGGAGCCCCAGACGACCCAAGAGAGCCCCAGGACAGGCCCAAGCTGGGCCACAGAGCGGGAGCGGGAGGCCCCAAGGCGCTCCAAGACGGCCCAGATGGCCCCAACGTGGCCCCAGATGGGCCCAACACGGCCAATACACAACCCATGAGGCTTCCAAGAGGCCCCAAGAGAGTTCCGAGAGGCGTCCAGAGAGATCCCGAAGAGGCCCACATGTTTGATTTCCGGCCGTTGTTTCAATGTCTTTCGCTTTCTCTCGTTCTCGAGCTTCCAACGCTCCAAGACCGGATGGAACTCGGGATGGAAGGGTGTATTGCCGCATCGTTGTTGTATTCCGGGTTTACGCCGTTTACGCTGGTCTTTTTCCTCCTCTGTCCTCCAGTATGTTCCTCCTTTTGCTCCCTACTCAAACCTCCTCCCTCCTCTCACCTCGTCTTCCTCCCCCCATCAGCCTCCTCATTAATATACTCATCATCGTCTTTCTTCTCCTCATCCTCCTCCTTCTCATTCTCTCCCTTCCCTCCTTTCCCCTCCCTTCCCTCCGCCCCTCCTTTCTATGCCATCGATGTGCGCCGCGTTTAGGCTGGCAATGAGCCGTTAAGGTCATAAGATCCTGCGGTCCCTCCCGACTTCCTTCCTCCACCCGCCAGGAGTGGAACGCCAACGGCGAGCCGCCGCTGGGCTTCGTGAAGCGACTGCAGTACACAGCGTTTTACACCATTCCCGACATGCAGGAGATGGATGCGAGGAGACTCCGAAGCATCGTGGCGAGTTTCAAGATAATGACGGGCATCAGCTGTAGTTTCAGCCAGCTCGGGAGCAGGTTAAAGGACAAGGGTGAGTTCACCGCACAGGTTTGGCAGGATTTGAACCGCCTGAGCTTTGAGGCTACCCATGGGCTCCTGATCGTCGCTGACGATGTCGAGGCTCTCAAGAATTTGCTTTCGAGTACCGAGTACAAGACCAGCTGGCTCGAGATCATGAGGCGTTTGGCCAGAAGGTCCATTTCATTCAGTACCATTCTCGGCTTGGATCTGGCGTACGACAAGAAGGCTGATCCGACCCTGTTGGTCTTCGCGCTGAGGCTCGACCCCCAGCTGGCAGCTGGTGGGGAGGCGTACCAGGCCATGGAAGGCGCAGTCGAATCGATCAACAGGCTCCCCAGCGCCGCGAGCTATAGGAGGATGAGAAGAAGAAGAAAAAGCACCAGCAGCAGAAGGTCTGGAGGACGAGGGCGAGGGACTAGGACCCGCAAGCCAGAGCAGGAGCTCAAGCAATCGGATGGATCAGCGGGCCCCCTGGTGCCGAGCAGGAGGGGAAGGCGGAGCAGCAGCAGCATTTTCCGGCGGCGACGGCGATGAGCGAGCGGCGAGCCGGCCGACAGGCTCCCTGGCGGCGAGGGCAAGCTCTCCGCGGCCTTCCACGCCACGGGCTTCGGCCGCTGGTCGGCCGAGGCCTTCGCCAGCCGTCCCTCGCCGCCTTCGTCGTCGTCGCTCGCCGTCATCGCCGTCGCCGTCGTCGCCGTCGCCGTCGTCGCCGTCGCCGTCGTCGCTCCGCCCTCGTCGTCGCCGCCATAGCCGTCGCCGTAACCGTCGCCGTAGCCGTAGCCGTGGCCGCCGCCGCCGCCGCCGTCGCCGTCGTCGCCGTCGCCGTCGCCGTCGTCTTCGTCGTCATCGTCGTCGTCGCCGTTCTTGTAGTTTTCCTCTTCGGCGTCTTCGCCGCCGTCGCCGCCTGTGTCATCCGACCAAGACCAGCTCAAAACCGGACCCAGGGCGCCTCCCCAGGTCCTTATTTTGCCTGGTCATCCGAGCTGCGCCCGGCCGTGGCGACGAGAGGCTCCAGAGACGCGCACAGACCTGGTCGTCCTCGCCCCCATCGTCGCCGTCCTCGTCGTTCCTCGTTTTCGTCGTCGTCGTTGTCGTCGTCGTCGTCGCCGTCCTCGTCATGCCTCGCGCTCGTCGTCTCCGCCCTCGCCGTCTCCGTCCTCGCCGTCTCCGCCGTCGTCGTCCTCATCGTGACCGGCCTCGTCGTCGCCGTCCTCATGGTCTCCGTCGTCCCCGTCGCCGTCCTCGCCGTGCGCCGTCGTCCTCGCCGCTCGCGGCCCTCGCCGTCGCGGGCCGCGGCCGGCGCGAGGACCTTCGGGTCGAGGTGGGCGCCACGGCGGACGCGGGCTTGGGCTTCACGCACTGCTTCACCGTCGCGGTCTGCGCGCGCCTGTCCGCCGCTCCTGCTGCTGCTGCTGCTGCGCCTCCTCCTCCTCCTCCTCCTCCTCCTCCTCCTCCTCCGCCTCCTCCTTCTCCTCCTCCTCCTCCTCCTCCTCCTCCTCTTCCTCCTTCCTTCCCGCCGTCCACCGCCCCCCCCGCCCCGACGCGGTCGACGTGCCCGCCAGCTTCAAGATGCTCGCCGCGAGCAAGACCTTCGGAAGGTGGCGGGCCTCATACGAACCCCTGCTGGCCAGGGGCGCCCGAGGCGAGCCTGCGGTCGCGGCCTTCGCGGTGCCCATCGAGTTCGGCGCGTCGGCCGCGGCCCCGCCCAGTCGGAAGAGAGGGGCGAGGCAGGCACCTCGAGCGGCGGCCACCTCCAGCGGCGTGGTCGGCGGCTAGCTCTGGGGGGGGGGAGCGGTAGGAGCTCGGAGGAGGCCGGGGATTGATCCGAGGAGGTGCAGGGGTATGAGGGGGGGAAGGGGAGGAAGAAGAAGAAAGGGAAGGAGGGCAGGAGGAAGAGGAAGAAGAGGAGGAGGAGGAGGAGAAGAAGGAGGACGTGGTCAAGGAGGAGGAGCAGAGCAAGGAGGAGGAGGAGTATGAGGAGGAGGAGGAGCAGGAAGAGAAGAAAAGGGGAGTACAGAGTGAGGAGGAGGAGGTCGAAGATGATGGTGAGGAGGATGGCGAGGAGGAGAAGAACGACGACGACCACGATGACGATGACGAGGAGGAGGAGGAGAATGAGGAGGAGGAGGAGGAGGAGAAGGAGGAAAGGGAGAACAACGAGGAGGAGGGGGCCACCTCCCGGGGCGTGGTCGGCGGCTAGTTCGGATGGGTGGGGAACGATGATGATGGTGATGATGATGGTGTTGATGATGGTGATTATGGTGGTGGTGGTCGTGTTGTTGCAGGCAGTTGCTGATGACGCTGAGGCTGCGGAACGCGATGATTATAGTCTTGTTGTTGCTGCTGTTGTTGCTGCTGTTACTGCTGTTGATGATGCTGGTGGTGATGATGATGTCGGTGCTCGGCTGCTGCTGTTGGTGTTGCTGCTGATGATGGTGGTGGTGATGGTGGCGGAAATGGTGATAATGATGGTGATGTTGTTGATGAAGATGTTGATGCTGAAGAACGTGGTTGTGATGGTGAATTTGCTGCTGTGGTAGGATGATGCTGATGAATATGATAATGGCGACGCTGATTAAGATGGTGATGCTGAAGATGATGGGATGATGCTGAGGATTATGATGCTGAATATGATGATAATGGGGATGATGCTGATGAAGATGATGCTGCTGATGAAGATGAGTTTGATGCTGCAGATGATGGTTGTGTTGGTGGTGACGCTCTGGATGATGGTGGCGATTGTCATGATGATGATGGTGGGAACGATGCTGATGAAGATGATGATGGTGATGCCGATTATGATGCTCACGTTGATGCTAATGCTGATGCTGATGATAATGCGGATGGTGATGATGACGGTGCTAGTGGTGATGATGATGGTGATTGTGACGACGATGGGCATGGTAATGATGATGTTGATGATGATGTTGTTGGTGATGATGATGATTATGATCATGATGATTATGGTTGTGGTGGTGATGATGAGGAGGAGGATGGTGGTGGTGGTGGTGACATGATGATGACGATGACCCACGCATCTAAAGAGGTCAGGAGCTCCCAGCTCAAACTGCCCGCGGACCAAGCCGTTTCTCTTTGGCCCTGCGGCGGCAACGCACGGCCTCGTGCCTGAGGCACCCTCGCAGATTCACTTGAGTGCCCCGACCTGCACACAGCCCCAGCCGAAGCAAGCGGCGAACAGCATCCGAGCAATCACGGCGACTCAGCCCGCAACAAAAGCACACGGGGCAGTGCAACGACGAGCGGGCTTGCACGCAGCAGGTTGCAAACGCCAGCGCAGCTTCATCGAACACGGCCAGGGCCACACGCCCACAGCCAGCGGCGGCATGCAAAGTCACGTTCTTCGACGCGCGAATTTGGAAGCCAGACCAGAGCAACAGCCCCCAAGGCACAAGGCCACACACGTGACATCATTGTATTTCGTTGGCAAGAACCCGATCCTAAGCGTCGGTAGCTAGCCACCTACGCCCACGGCCCAGCCTCCCAGATCGGAGGCTGGCAGCACGCACCTGGCGACAGGCGAGACGGGCGCGCCGAGCGAAAAGCCATGCACCAGGGCACCGGCTAAAACTTGTGTGCGCTGAGCGCGCGGTGAGAAATCCGAGCACCAGCAGAGCTATTGCCCCTATGCTCCTGGCCCGACGGTGGGACTTGCTGCTGCGCCGTTGCCGTCGGAACCTGACCCCGTGCGTCGACGAGCCTACACACCTGCTTCGGCTTCCGCACTACGCCCAAAGCCGCGTGCGGCAGAAATCTTGAAGTGCGCACCGAGGCTTGCCATGCATACTGAGAGGGTGGCCAACGAAACACCTAGCCACCAGCAGAGCAACTCGCCCCAAAGGCACATGCTATAAACTGGACTTGTTGCTTTGCCGCTGGCATCGGAGTCTGACCCCGCGCGCGAGCGCATGCCTACACACCTGGTTCGTCCTCAGCATTAAGCGCACTTCCGACGCAGGCGCCGTCGGGCCGCGCAGGAATTCAGCACGCACCGAGCCAAGGCCATGCACACTGGGCAAAGCGGAGAGCCTTGCCTAAATCACTGACGGAGCGGCGAAAACTGCCGCCAGCCAGCGAAGCCACTGTAAGCGGACGGCATGCCACGAAGAGCCTGCCATCAACAGGCAGACGGCGGTATGCAGAGCGCACGTCAATTTGCATATATGAAAGCCAGCGCTGAGCAACACGATCCCGCAACACAGCTCCCAGGACATCGTTGCTCAGCGATGGGCGGAACCCGATCCAAGGCGTCGTCGGCAACCCACCTACGCCCACGGTTCAGCCTCGAATACGGATAGCAGCACGCGCCGGGCCTATGCCACGCACGCCGTAGAGCGGCGAGCGACGCACCTGTCCAGCAGCAGAGCAGCTCGTCCCCAAGGCACCTGGCCACGCACTGGACTGATAGTCGTCTTGCCGCTGGAATCGGAGCCCGATCCCGCGCGCGGGCAGGCGCCTACGCGCCTGGTTCGGCATCCGCTCGAAGCGCCGCCCCCGCCGCGGCGCGCCGCGGAGGCGCCGGGCGGATTGCCGCGCGCACCGAGCCAACGCAAAGCATACTAAGAAAAGAAACGCAGCACAATCTGGCCATCGTCAGCGCAACTCGCCCCAGTGGCCCCTGGCCCAACAATGGATTGGTCGCGTCGCCCACGGCATCGGGGCCCGATCCCATGCGTCAGTAAGCCTGCGTGCATGGTTCGGCTTGCGCTTAGTGAAAGAAGCGGACGACTGCTGCCCAATGCGTTTGCGGAGGCGCCGCAAGGACTCGGGGGGCCCGGTCGATCCCGCCCCTGCAGGCTGGAGGACGCGCTTCGGATTGCCGAGGACAGACCTCTGCCATTGGGCACATCTCGGCGAGCCCCGCCACCCTGCCGCGCTGCGTCCAGCGCCCGCATTTGACGCAGAACAGGTGTACACCAGCCCTTCATAACCCGTGCGACTCGCGGGCGCCCATTCCCCGCCACGGGGCGGGGGTTCTGGCGGAGGTGACCGCGGCGCCTGGACAGGGGGTGCGGCATGGCATCCGCTGCCGCCGCTGTAACTGCTGCCGACGCTGCCGCTGCCGCTCGGATAGCAGCGCCGCGCCAGCTGCGAGATGCGTCGCCGCCGCCGAGACTGCGCCCGCACTCTGCTCGCCACCTGCTGCGCAGGAGCTCGAGACGGCCTCTCCGCGGCCCGCGCGCTCGAGGCGCGCCCGCACCGCGTCGCCGTAGTCGGCGCCCAACCAGGCGCCGCGGCGCCCGCGCGCACGTCGAGGGCAGACGGGAACGCCGCGGCGGGCCACCCGGCGCAGCTCGCACGCGCGCCAGTCACAGCGTACCCCGTCGAGGCCTGGCCCATCATGGCCGTCGCCTGCCGCGAGCCCGGCGTCGCCCTCCTGCGCGGTCGCTCCCAGCCAGCGGGAGACCTTCTTGACGAAGCGGCCCTCATGGTAGGTGCAGTTTCGCAGGGCGTCGTCTGCGGGGTGGAGACGCACCCATTTCGCTGGCCCGCGCGCCAGCGCGATGATTGCCCCGACGCTGCCGATCTGCGATGCGATCTGTCCGCGCGCCAGCCAGACTCGCGCGCGCTCTCGCCTCGCGACAGGGGGGGGCGCCGACGGCCGCGCCCTCCATGGCGGCCCGCAGGCGGGCACATAGCTCCCTGCAGGGCCTCTGCCGCCCCGAGCACCACGCCTCGCCCGCGGCGATGCCGTCGACGAGCACCCGGCAGTCGGCGAACAGCCTGATGGGGGGGGCAGGCGACCCTGGGCGGCTTCGGCGGCCGCGCAGGGCCCCGCCGCCCCCGACTCCTGAGGAAAAGGCCATGACGAGAGCCCGGAGAGGACGACGGCCTCCACGTCGCGCCCCGTGACCACGATTGCCCGCCCGCCCCGCGCGGAGATTAGGCCCGGGCCCTCGACGTCGCCGTCGGCGAAGAGGTCGCCCGCCAAGGGCGAGCCGACGAGGCCCACCTTGCCGCCATTCATGGCCGCGCGCTCCGCCGCGGGCGGCGACGCGGCCCGCCGGCGCTCGGAGGCGAGCGCGCGGGGCCAGGGCAGGTCCTCAGTGTAGCTCAGGCTCGCCATGTCGACTATCGTCTCGAAGTGCATGACGTCGAGCGGGCGCCTCTCGTCGCCGTCGCCGCGGAGGCCCCGCCTCGCGCGGCCCGCGGCCGTCGCGGGACGCCGCCGCGCCGAGTGCCGCGCCGCGCCGCGGGCTGCGCAACTCCGCGGGCGCCAGGGCGACGACGCGAGCGGCCGATCCACGCCGAACCGACGCGCCGCTGGCCGCGGGCAGCCGACGAGCATTCTTGGCCGAGCTGAGCGCATCCGCTGTCTTCGCGCCCATGCGCTTGCGGCGCAGAGCGCGCCTGACGCCGGCCAGCGCGCCCCCCCCCCCCCCCCCCTGCGAGGTGCTCGAGGCCAGGGCGCCTGCCCACCTCGTTCCAAAGCGCACTCGCATGAGCTGCGGCGACGTACTTCGACGGGGTGGAAGCGCCGAGCGCGCGCATGTCCAGCCCCCGCTGCTGTTCGTCAATGATATGACCAGGTCGAACAGCTGCCCGCTCCAAGCGGTGGCACGAGAGCACGCACTCTGCAGCTGGTCCTCCCCCTGCCAACGCCTCGGGCCCCTCTGCTGAAAGCAATGGGGCGCCCCCCGCGAACGCGCTGCCCATGGCCCGCAGGTCCTGGCCGTCTGCGTCGAACTGCACCGCCTTGGCCCATGCCGCGATCGGGAGAGCGACGCGGCCCAGCAATGGGTCGC